TACACAACTGCTTTCTGCTTTTTTTTGTTGTTTTACAATTGTTGACTTGGATGATCGGCTTGCTGTAATATAAAGGCCTGGATTTTTCCTCTATTTGCGTTGCATTTTTGTGCCACGTGCTGTGCACTGTTCACCAGCCCCGCATGTAAAATGCTTTGATGTTGTGCGGTGCTTCCATAATCCGAGTGCAAGCTCTGCAGGTCACCAGCGCTTGCTCCAGGAGTACGTGAATGCAGTTTAAACCTGATGCGCTGCATGTCTACACGGAGCTAGGCTTGACATCCTGCTCCTAATCATTTACATGCATTTAGATGTTTGTTTTCTAAAGTTGAAGGGATGTTTGACTTTTTTATATTAACGTTCTTAAGGCTTGGCATGCATCATGTGAACTCGCTTGCCAAAATGAAAGAATGAGAATGAAAACATTATTTTCACGGCAGTGTTTGAAGCGCAGCAACCCATATTTTATAATGCAGTTACTGCTCTGTGAATCATATTGTGCAGTATAAGTCAATCTATGGTAAATTTCAGAGGGTCAATCTATTAGTATATAGAGTATGTAGACCAGGGGTAGGCAACACTGACACTCCAGCTGTGGTGAAACTACAAATCCCAGCATGCCTTTGACTCTGGGAGTCATACCTGTGGCTGCCAGTCTTGCGGTAGCTCATGGGAATTGTAGTTGTACCACAGCTGGAGGTCTGGAGTTTGCCTACCCTTGCTATTGAGTGTCATTTCAGTAAAAGCTCTAAAGCTGGCCATACACCTATACATTATCTGCAGATTTTCTATGGTCAGATGGAAAAAGTGCAACAGATTCCTCCATCTACACTAAACTGTGTGAATGGAGGAATCTCCCGCTGAGCCAAACATCAGTATCTTGCTAGTCGGCCCCGCTGGCTCTTATAATACCTGAACAATGCCTGCGTCCAATCAGATTGTTAAGGTATTTTGAGAGCCAGCGAGGCCGACTAGGAAGATACTGATGTTTGGCTCAGCGGGAGATTCTGCCATCCACAGTTTAGCATAGATGGAGGAATCTGTTGCACTTTTTTCATCCGACAATAGAAAACATGCAGATAATCTATTGGTGTATGGCCAGTTTAAGTCTACTGGGGCTGCCAACATCTCATCCAAGATGGTGGCAACCAGCAGCACTCCCGCAGCACTCTCAGGCCTTTTGGATTGGCCTTCCCCTGAGGTAGATGGGTGTGGAAATCTGAGAACCTACAGCGTATGCAGATAGCTGTAAATTGGTTGGCTTGTGATGCATTGATAAGTTGCTAGCAAGTCAATAGTAAATTATTATTATTAGCCATTACGTTTGTATTAAGAATACTTGGCCTTAGCTGACAAGGCATTGCAAAGATGGTGATTTTTTTTTAAATTTTTTTTTAAGGTGTTGTATCTTACGGTAACCAGACGTCTATCTTTTTCATCAAATGACTACAGCAGGAGTAGGAAAATGAATATAGACTTCAGGAGCCAGTCTGTCCAATCCAAGAGCCAGCAGGATTTTTGTAGCATGGACAGCAACTAGAGAAACCTCAAAAGTTGGGTGCCGGCTCTAATGCTAAGGCCCCATTCACACTGCGCGATTCGCAAGTCGCGCGGTTTGCATTTTGCGTGATATCACGCAATTTTGCGCAAATGCTTGCATTGAGCAAGCTAGAATCGCGGCAAAATCCGCTCCAAAAAGGGTCCTGCTGTAGCGACGCACGACCCGCGACAGCAGGACCCTTTGCCCCATTGCCAAGCATTGGAGAGCAATATCGCGCGGTAAATAGCCGCGATATCGCGGGAATTACCGCGCGATAAATCACTCAGTGTGAACGGGGCCTTAAGGGGCATTGGAAACCTGGTTTGTCCAGCCCTGGACAACGGTATAATAAACTTTGGTTCCCTGAGTTCCAAGACTTTGTACAAGCATACGGCAAAGGGCATTGCTATGTTAAAAATAATCCTGACTGTCATTGAGGTAAAATAACCAAATCTCTAAAGGAAGTCTGGATAGCCATACATAAATGGAATCTGGTTTGAAAATGTTCATTTTTGGAACGTTCCTTCAATTTTCTGATGGTTAATGGGGTCTAATTGATCGCTT